CCTAATGGTATTAAGGAACCGCCAATGGCCTCTTCCCAGGTTAAGGGGCTTATGTTATTTACATCCCATTGGGCATCTGTTAAGTCCCTTCTTTTTCGCCTGAAATTGCGGAGGCGTTCTTGAGGGAAGGTTCCTAGCACTCAGAATTGTGGGAAGAGTCGGGCGGGATAACAGATTCCTGACCAATTAGCTGGTAGTGCGGTATAAGCTCTGGTCCCACACACCCAGTGATGGCCTATTAAGGCCAGGAAGGGTTGGTTGCACCCATTTGTCATATAGGTGTTTGCAAAGGAGGAGTTGTATCCCCCAAAGGGTACAGGGTAATTCTCCTTACGAGGAGTGGTGTTATTTGCATGACATTGAAAGATTGTATTGTTTTCACTAAGGTTACTGTAGGGGAACATGAGATTGACTTCTCTATTTGATCCCAGGTTGAGAAAAAATTCATATCTCCATACCCGGCCCTCCCCTTTTTAGTTTTGTTTGAATAATCCCATACACCATTGGCCACAATATGCTGAAGGCAACAGCTTTTCCCCAGATCCAGCCCTGTCCCATTACATGCATCCGATGAAGTGAGCTGTAGCTCACGAAAGCTTATGCTCAAATAAATTGGTTAGTCTCTAAGGTGCCACAAGTCCTCCTTTTCTTTTTATGAATACACACTAACACAGCTGCTACTCTGAAACCTAGATATATATAGATATATAGATATATACAGAGAACATGAAAAGATGGGGGTTGCCTTACCAACTCTAACAAAACAAATCAATTACAGTGGGCTATTATCAGCAGGAGGAAAAATCACTTGTAGAGTGGTAATCAGGATGACCCATTTCAAACAGTTGACAAGAAGGTGTGAGTAACAGTAGGGGGGAAAATGAGCATGGGGAAATAGTTTTTAGTTTGTGTAATGACCCATCCACTCCCAGTCTTTATTCAGGCCTAATTTGGTGGTGTCCAGTTTGCAAATTATTTCCAGTTCTGCAGTTTCTCATTGGAGTCTGTTTTTTGAAGTTTTTTTGTTGAAGAATTGCCACTTTTAGGTCTGTAATTGAGTGTCCAGGGAGGTTGAAGTCACTGACTGGTGTTTGAATTTTATAATTCTTGACGTCTGATTTGTGTCCATTTACTCTTTTGTGTAGAGACTGTCCGGTTTGGCCAGTGTACATGGCGGAGGGGCATTGCTGGCACATGATGGCATATTTCACATTGGTAAATGTGCAGGTGAACGAGCCCCTGATGGTGTGGCTGATGTGATTAGGTCCAAGAAGTGGACAAGAAGCTGGATATGAGTCAACAGTGTGCCCTTGTTGCCAAGAAGGCTAATGGCATTTTGGGCTGTATAAGTAGGAGCATTGCCAGCAGATCGAGGGATGTGATCATTCCCTTCTATTTGGCATTGGTGAGGCCTCATCTGGAGTACTGTGTCCAGTTTTGGGCCCCACACTAGAAGAAGGATGTGGAAAAATTGGAGAGAGTCCAGCGGAGGGCAACAAAAATGATTAGGGGACTGGAACACATGACTTATGAGGAGAGGCTGAGGGAACTGGGATTGTTTAGTCTACAGAAGAGAAGAATGAGGGGGGATTTGATAGCTGCTTTCAACTACCTGAAAGGTGGTTCCAAAAAGGATGGATCTAGACTATTCACAGTGGTACCAGATGACAGAACGAGGAGTAATGGTCTCAAGTTGCAGTGGGGGAGATTTAGGTTGGATATTAGGAAAAACCTTTTCACTAGGAGGGTGAAACACTGGAATGTGTTACCTAGGGAGGTGGTGGAATCTCCTTCCTTAGAAGTTTTTAAGGTCAGGCTTGACAAAGCCCTGGCTGGGATGATTTAGTTGGGGATTGGTCCTGCTTTGAGCAGGGGGTTGGACTAGACCTCCTGAGGTCCCTTCCAACCCTGATATTTTATGATTCTATGCAGCAACCGATGAACTTGAAAGATTATTTTATTTGGCTGATCATGTGTTTAGCAGAATCAGACAAGGTGTTTGTCTAAAAATGTAGTGTGACAAAGGCTGTCATCATGGGCTCATCAGAGGTGAGCATTGACAGCTCAATAGCGAATGATAGGTAGGATGGGATTGACTGTGAATTGCCTTGAAAGTGAATACAAGCAGCTTATGTTATGTGTGCTAGAGAAGGGGAGCCAGTGGAGGGATGCAAAGAGAGGGGTGACATGGTATGACATTCCAGGATTCAATCCAGACCAGTGAGGGGTTGTGTCGCCACCTGCCTTGTATCCTGGGGTGCTTCACAATGCTTTGCTGCTGTACCTCCCAGCCTAGGCTCCTCACAAATAGCATGCAGGTCACACTCTGAGTGTCTGTGTGTAGCTCCAGCCTGCCAGCACGCTCCAGGCACACTCTGGCTTCCACCAGCCTTGGTTACCACTCGCAGGCTGACCCCAACACATTCTCAGTCCCAGATTTTCCCTAGAAAACATGTGTTCTGAAGTGTCCAGCCCTTTCCAGTGATAGTTGAGATATTTTAAGTCCGATGCCCCTGTAAGAGAACAATATACAACAGTTTGCTACTTTAATCGAAGTTACCAAACAATTCACAACACAGAGTTAGTTTTGATTAAAAAATAAAATAAGTTTATTTTACTACAAAGAAAGAGATTTTAAAGGAGTACAGGTGTAAGGAATTCAAGTCAGAAATGGTTACAAGAGAGATAAAGATAAAACACTTTCTCGTGCTAAAACTTAACAAAGTGGACTTCGTTCAAGATAAATTCTTACCACGTGCTCCCAGCAACAAGGCTTACCAAATTTCAGGTCAGGATCTTTCCCAAAGTCAAAGGGCTGCTTCCTTTGTCATTCCTCCACTTCCCCCATGTCTGGTAGAGAAAGTGGTTGGTGGTGTTTACTAAAATGAAGATCTGTTTGTTCCTGCCCCTCATCCATGCCAAAGAATGGCCATTTGACAGGTGATTGCCCATCAGGTTTGATGATACTTGGCTAGCTAGAGGTGTCAGCTTTTGCTCTGTCTTTGAGAAACTGACTTGTCTGGTAGATGTAAAATGTGTTCAGCTCATGTTTATGACATTACATATAATGTTGCTACACACATTTCACTGTGATATTATGGACCAGTGAGTTACTAGTTTTCAAATGCTACCTCACAAGATGTATTTTGTACAAAGATTACTATAGTAGACTATGTAGTGTGTAGGCTGTGAATACAGGGGTAGATTTGATCACACATGGTCAAAGTGATGTTCTTGGAAAATGCAGCAGCATTCTGAATGGATACAAGCAGAGCAAGATTGTGTTTGTCGATGCCAGAGAGAAGGATGTTGCAGTAATCAAGACATGAGATAAGCACTTGGATGAGAGTTTTAGCTATGAGGATGGATTTTAAAAGGCTGTAGCTTAGAGATGTTATGCAGAAAGAATCAGTAAAATTTAGACATAGCGTGAATTTGATGACCTGAAGGGAGGGATGATACCCAGGTTACAGGCCTCCGTGACAGGCAGGATGGTGGTGTGCCTAGTGATTGGGAGAGGAGGTAGCAGAGAGGACTTGGGAGTGAGGGAGGAGATTAAGAGCTCTGTTTTAGCCACATTGAGCCTGAATTGTCGTTAGATATCTGTAAGGAGATGTCAGGGAGACAGGACAAGATATTTGTTTGGTCAAAAGGAGACTGGTCTGAAATAGAGAGGTAGATCTGAGTTCTCAGCATTGACATGGTAGTTGAATTTGTGTTTGCAAATGAGATTACCCAGAGATAAGATGTAGAAAAAGATGTAACATAGCATACAATAAGCCTGTGGCATTGAAAGGCGGTATACAAATTCCCTTCAGTGTGAAACTGTAGGATTAAGATCTTGCAGCAAACATGAGTGAAATCTATAAAATATGGTGGTTTTCCTGCTTGTCAAAGAAATATGACAGTAACCTGATATGGTATAAATCATGCAATACTAAAATTTACCTTGCTACTGTATCAGCCTATCAGCAACTAGTGTTTAAAATTCAAGACAGATTATATTTAGAAAGCCAGCATTTTAAAATTTGAATATTTATCAGTAAGTGTCGATTTTCTGAACTATTATATTGTCACCTGCAGAAGGCTCTGCATAAAGTTATTTGGATTAACTCATTCATTCAGAAATATAATGTAACTGAAGAACTAACTGATCCCTGAACTATGAACTAGGTGATCCACCAAAGGTCTCTTCCAATCCAGTGAATTTGGTATTAAAATGGTCTGTGCATTGTTAGTGGAGGGTATATTTATGTCCTTTTACAACATGAACATTTGTGTCTCTGTAAAACAGCACACTGTTAGCATCTTCCGCCCTGATCCTGTACAATTGTCTGCACAGAAAAATCCTTGAATGGGATTCCATGCAAAGATAGAGTCCAGCTGCATGGATTCTATTGTAGGATCCTGAGTTTATAGTTCTTAAATTTAAAAAAAAAAAAAAAAAAAAAGTCTTCCTTTCAAGATGTTAGACTGTAAAACGTTTTTGACTTCTTAATATTTACATAGTAAGAGTATTTTTTAATGTAGTTTCAATCCTTTATCCCAGTTCTGCTACTCTGATGATGCTGAGTAATACTTTAGTCGGCATGTTGTCCTGCTGGAATCACCTGTAGTATTTACAGAGTAAGGTACTACTCGACATGAGCAATGGAGACAGATTTGGGCCCTTTGAGGCTTCAGAACATATCACCAGGATATGGAAGATGATGTGGCTAAATTCCTTCTGCTGCTTTGCTAATCTCAGCGACTAACCTATTATTTTATTATAACAACCCATGGGGAGCTTGAAACTTGGACCGATTTTCTTTCCAAAAGCTGCTACCCTCCACAACCTCTGTTGTATAAAGAAGCAAAAAGTCACAAGAGAATTAGTTGTCATTGCTAACCTTGGTAGTGGTCCCATAATTAGCAGTGAACATTAGCGGACATCTTAGGTGCATTTTATTGATCAGTGATCTGTTGGGCTTTTGATCTCATTCATTTCTTTCTTCATTTAGCCACCAGATAATGGGCCTCCACCGCTACCAACATCGTCCCTTCCTGAAGGCTACTATGAGGAGGCGGTGCCACTTAGTCCTGGAAAGGCTCCTGAATATATCACTTCCAGTGAGTAATATATATCCTGATGCCATCCTAAGCAATTGTCAGTTTTAGTGACTTTCAGTGCTTTAAAACACGAAGACATAAACAAAAAAGAAAACTGTTCTCTCTTTACATCCTCTATAGTTAAGAATTTTATATGAAGGGCTCAGTATTGTCTGTGTCTATAAGGATAGATTGTGGCTGGTTTATGACAGGGGGATCAGGTAGGCATGCTGGACCCCACAGCAGTTTCCGATGTGAGTGACCAGTATCTCCAATGCTATTCTGTGACACTAGTTCAATATCAACTCGGGGACAGAGGGCTACCTCCTAATTAATCACCAAAACCAATTATCTCAGCACTCAGGTCTCCCATGATCATATCCAGATACTTACCCAGTCTAATCTATCTTACACTGATGTATGATTGGATCACAGTGATAGAATGATGGCATGCCTGCCACTGAACAGTTGTGCAGGTTTAGTGAGCTGGACATTTAAGTGCTAAAAGATGGAGGGTGTTTTCCAGTGGGTTGGAGGAGGTAAAAAGGTTTCTTTTGCTGCTCTTATTTATTGTCTGGCAGAGTTAATTCATCACTTCTGTACGAATACTTTTCTGCTGGATCATCATCATTCACGACCCTAAATTTGTTAGACCATTTTTATTGTTGTTTAAATCTAAATGAATGACTAAATAAAATCTGTTCTCCTAAATAATAAAACAAGAGAAACATTATAACACTAACAAATGATCTGTGTGCCATTTGTACACTGTGGATTAGGGAGAGTCCTTTGTTTTTCTTGGAGAATGGTATGTATGCATTAGCTCTAAACATAAAAAAAACCAAAACCAAATAAAATCTGGCACTTGTTAATAGGAATAACTTAACCTAGGCAATTGGGGCAAAAAAATAAGAGTTCCAAAAAATGTAAAATGAATGTAGACATGCTCAGCCTCAGCAGTGCTCAGGGACTGTCCACTCCCTGCTTCTCCCCCAGAAGTAGTGCAGGGTGGTCCTGCTCACACCCTCTGACCCAGTGAACTGCCAGTTCGCGGTTAGCTGCTAAATGCAAGGGTCCAGCTCAAGGAGAAAATATTAGCTGCATTTTAACGTACTGTACAGTAGTTGTTTCTGTGGGGCTAAAACCCAAAACACGCTAACCAAATTTCAGACTTATTTTTATTGACCTTCATTACCGTCCAGACCCACAGGAACATTTAGGGGAGATGGAGCATCCCCCACTCCCATAAATCAAAGTTATAACTTTTACAAAAGTTATATGCATAACTAGCGTAACTCATAACCTATGTTGCCTCAACTCTGCTGAATTCCATTATCTTTTATATTTGTCATCGAATCCTTTAACACCTCTAGAAGAATATAAGTACTGTCAACAACTCTGTTTATTTGTAGTAAAGTGAGTGGCTAAATTCACCGTAGGCCTTCTTCAGTGCTTGTTACCCTACTCCAGCAAAATTCCCATTGAGCTCATTTGTGCTAGCTTGTCTTATGGCTTTGTGAATAATACGAACATAAGTGACTGAAATAAAACCACCAAACTCACTTTACTCGTCATAACTGCAGCCAGGATACAGCGCTGTGTTTGAGGTGGATGTGATTGAGAAGACAGAGATTCTAAGGAACCAGACTACAAGAACAGCATCATGAAGAAGCGGAGGAAAAAAAGAGAGAATGCCAGCTCTAATGGATTAAATAAATGTTCAACCAGATGTAACTCTCTATAGTATATGTTTCTTCATACAGTAGAACCTCAGAGTTACGAGGGGATCGAGGTTGTTCATAACTCTGAAATCTTTGTAACTCTGAACAAAATGTTATGGTTGTTCTTTCAAAAGTGTACAACTGAATACTGACTTAATACAGCTTTGAAGCTACTATGCAGAAGAAAAATGGTGCTTTTAACCATTTTAATTTAAATGAAACAAGCACAGAAACAGTTTCCCTACCTTGTCAAATCTTTTTTTAAACATTTCCATTTTTTTTTTAGTAGTTTATGTTTAGCACAGTACTGTACTGTACTGTATTTGTTTTTTTCTTCTTTTTTTCTCTGCTGCTGCCTGATTGCTCACTTCCGGTTCCAAATGAGGTCTGTGGTTGACCGGTCATTTCATAACTCTGGTGTTCGTAACTCCTGAGGTTCTACTGTAATAAGAATATTTTTTCTAATATAATTAACAGTAAATAGGCTCACATCTTCTATGTTCCTATAAAAAGGTGAAAAATCCACAGGAGTATAGTTCATGAAAACAAAATGATGGTGATTTCCCTATCTGTGGTCTGTAAATAAATATTTATTTGCAGATAAGAACAAGTTGAAGTGTGCCTCAGCTGATGATGACTTTCTTTTTCCATCTCCATTTATTGAAAAATACTGATCCAGAGTGACCTACTTTAAATTAGCTTCAGGTTAATCCTTTGAATACCTTATTCGGAATAATGTGAAAATGTGTTAGAGTATATTATTTTCCTTAACAATTTGTATTTTTATACACAGAAAAGCATGTAATTCATACAACAGATACTAGAATAACCATCAGGCTCTGCCAAAAAGTATATATATGTAACTAGGCTTGGAAGGATTAGATTTTTAATGGTCAATGTTGGTGAACGTTGATTTCACATTCATACACAACTCCCCCCCAGATATTTCCATTGATAACAATCAAAATTTACAGTGAGGCAAGTAAGAAAAATGCTACTTGAGAACTTAGTAAAGTTTGATTTAAGGATACTTAATTTGTATATTTTGTCATGTGATGTTGATAATTTGTGTTTTGACAGTTATAAAGCATTAATTTTTTAACTCCCAGGGTCTACTGTAATTAAATTGGTGTCTGACTCCCCTGTTGTCTGAACCCCCCATAATTTCCCACATTAAAATTGAGAAAAATTGGAAAAATTGCTTTAAAATAAACATTGATATTATCTGTTGAAATTATATTTTAAAAAAAATTGAATTCTTCCTATACAGTACATATTACAATTGAGCTTGGACTCAAAAGTCAGTGGGAGCTACTGGATGCTCTACACTTTTGAAAGTCAGACCACTTAGTTTAGGAACCTAAATGAGGATTTAGGAGTCTAACTTTAAACACCTTTTTAAAATAATCTTGATCATTGTGTGTGTTCTGCTGGTATGAAATTTTGAGGTCTAGTGGAAGGTCAAGTCACTGTAGGTTATAGAGACATTAATCTCTGGCTAGTGAGTGTGGATAGTCTTGAACCCCTTCCCTCCACCCTGTGTTGCTGGGGAAAAAGGAGCAATCTCTCTTTGCATCAACCTTAATGTATTCTGAGTGTTGGGTTGGCATTCTCGACTACCCTGTCCTCCCACAGTATCCTCTCTGCTGCCGAGGGGGGTGGGGTAAGGTCTCACTACTCCCCCTTCCCCTAACTTTTTAAAAAAATCTTTCCCATGAAGATCACCATTGTACACCTCTGCTGTAGCTCCTTGTCTTGGTAAACAGTTGAACTGACAACTTGCTTGTCAGTTTCCCTTTTGTTGCCATCAGGTTTCTGAATTACTTCAGTGGATCTGCATCTTTCTCATTCAGATCACACTTGGAAGGTTATCTTTGCAACAGCAAGGACTAGAAACTTTTTTTAAAAGGAAAGCTTAAATCTGCAGGCTTATGGCAGAGATCTATAGAAGCCTGAATGATGTGGAGAAAGTGAATAAGGAAGCACAGAGGAGGTGTTGTGAGGAAGGGCGAGGGTTTACAGTGCCAAGATTATATGGTTACTCAGTATCGATAATTGCCCTTGTTTGTACCATGATGGCAACAGAAATTGGGGTAGAAGGGAGCCAGGTGAATAAGTATTTTATGCAGGGATAAATGACACAGCCCAAAGGGAGAACTCTGGGTCAAAACAATGTGCCAAAATAAGATGTCTTATAAAATATGACTTGGTCTGTAATTATATATATATTTTTAATAATGTGTATATACATTCCAAATCAAGACTTTGTAAATTGTTGGATGCAGAGTGGCATGTGGTGGTGTGTGTCTGTGTGTATGCATACTTGAAATACAAAACTGAACCTTTAAATTTTGAGTCCCCACTAGCACCTCCATAACTGGGATATTAATAACCTTGATGAAAGTATGTAGGTGTTGTGAAAAAAAGTGCAGTGGTTAATCAAATTACTGTGCTGAAAAGCAGTGATGGAAACAAGATATTTGCTTGGGGCTTGAGGTAAAAAGAAACCAATCCTTCATAATATAGTATGGAGATGACTGATAACAATGGTATTTGGTAGGTGGAACATTCTTTTGTGGAATATGAGAAAGTTAAAACATCCCATAAAATGGAAATGGTTTATTAAAATACAGCAAAGACAGATACAATATTGCCTTTTGCCTCCTCAGTGTCAGGTACACTAAAAATGCAGATGGAAAAGTGGTTTTTCGTCTTTTCTGCTCTCCACCACTGCTGGCCACCTCTTTGGGAGTTTTCAGATTCAGAAAAAAGAACAGGAGTACTTGTGGCAGCTTAGAGACTAACCAATTTATTTGAGCTTAAGCTTTCGTGAGCTACAGCTCACTTCATCGGATGCATTCAGAGGGAGTCTGGTGGCAGAGAATAGAGTAGAGTCACAACAAACTTTAAAATTAAAAAAGAAAATATGGCTTTAGACAGGGAGTAGGACACCCCCACCTCACCCCCATCGCCCCAGCCCCACTGCTAGAAGCTGTGAGCAGAGCAGGACATGGGTGGCCTAATTGTGCCCTAGATCACTGTTAGATTGGAAGAGGGGAAGGAGGCAACTCATGGCCCCTGAAAGAATTGCTGGTCCTGAATATAGGAAGAATGTAGTGTGAGTCAGGAGCTGCCTTTCAAGGAGGATTATTGTTGCCAGAGGGATGGACCAGGATTCTGGATATCACTCTAGGGCAAGGAGATAGTCAGGCCTCCCTGAAAATGCTGGTTTAACTACTGAATTCTTCATTTTCATGTTTAGTAATTTCACCAGTTTAACTCTTCTGTCTCTGCAGGTAACATGTGGGTGTTCTTTTGGATGTCTGAGTTTGATCAGTGGCCTCCTAGGCATTTTCTAATTTAGTAGTGTAAACTTTCATAGAGCTTCCTGGATAACCCCACCAGAAAGGCGTTTTTGTTTAGGCTCTTTTGTCCTGGTTTTCAGGGAGGTAATTAGAAGAGATGGAGATCTCACATATTATTTTTACATGATTATGAGAAAATGAACAGTCTTTAATATAAAACCATTTCCCAGTTTGCCAGTTTAAATTAAATAATAGACAATCCCTAACCTTTCCCACCCTTCCCTTTTATTCCATTTATTATTTTTTTAAACAATAAAAACCTTGTCGTGTTTCTTAACTTTAGATTCATTTGTAGCTTTTAGCCGCTGCCTTGCATTGGCTTATTGCTGAGCCCTGTCATTCCACAGCTTAGGAAGGATTGTATCTTCTGGAGCTTCTAGGCATACCAGCTGGCAGAAAGGTCCTCATTTAGTAAGGGGGTACAGAGTTCTTTGATAAAGATAACAAAGTCTTCAAGTAGTAGAGAGCTAACTCCTGGCTCTTGATAACAAAGGGAGTGATAAGAAGCCCACTTAAATCAGAGTCTTGCTATTGATGTCAATGAGCTTTGGATTAGGCTAAGGAACATAAGGGGAGAGTGCTTTCAACATCAGCAGAGACACTGATGCAATCAATGGCACTGTCTACATTAGCATTAATTGTCTCATGGTTTGTAACTTGTTGCTGTTATAATTGTATGACATTTTGTAGAGACCTGTATTTTTCTACTGTATATGGTGTAAATATTTAAACATACAGAAATACTTGATTCCTTGTGAGCTGTGTCATACTCCATGTTTATTTCTCTACATGCTAGGTCCTTAATATTTACGTTTCTTTCTTTCCATGCAGACATTGTCAGCAAGAGTTTAGTATTGCATTAAGGAATGGGGAAAGATTATAATCGCTTCCTCTAGAAAAGCTGCAAAAGGGGGGGAAATGAAATTGCAAGTAGCATTTTCAACATAAGCAGTATCTAAGTGCTAAGTATTAATTCCCAAGTTATAGTTTTAGTTAAAATTCCAGGGGTATAATTATGGTTCTATAGTTAAATCTAATGATGATGCAGTTCTCATTTTTATAGCATCTCATACTCAATAAACTTAATGTATTCATATTACGGAGGATTGAAAAATATATTGTTTTTGGTTTGTCTTTAGAATAAAAGGTAGTACTTAAAATAGATCCGTTACAGTTGTTCAGTTTTATAGGTGTGTTTCATGGTTGATAGTTTTAACTGGGTACTTTTATACTTTTCTTAAAGATTATGACTCAGATGCTATGAGCAGCTCTTACGAATCTTATGATGAAGAGGAGGAGGATGGAAAAGGGAAAAAAATGAGACATCAGTGGCCTTCTGAGGAGGCTTCTATGGACCTCGTAAAGGATGCCAAAATTTGTGCCTTCCTCTTGAGAAAGAAGCGATTTGGACAATGGACCAAACTACTGTGTGTTATCAAAGAAAACAAACTACTGGTAATTATTATTTTATTTCCTTTGGCTAGATTTTGTTTGTAATTTAAAGATGTGATTATTTTTAAAGGAAAATGGCTTATGGTAAATATTTTGTAAATAGTGATCAAGTTTAATATTGCTGTCAGAGAGCATGACCAAGGGCCCCATATTGATCAATTGATGGCTTTTTTAAAATTCACTTAGAACATGGATCCTGTCACAGTGAAACTTATACCCTAGAAAATTCTCTGATGCAGAGAACATAGCCGGAAGCCTATTTCTGTCTAATATATTTCATCCCTGAAACCTTGCAAACCCAACCCTTATGGAGGCAAAAATCCCACTAGATTCTGTGAGAGTTTTCCGTATATAAGAGCTGTTGGATCAGACCCTTAGAGAGAAACAAGTCCCTTGGTAGATTGAGCAATCACTTGGCAGCATATGTTATTGTAATGTATATACTTAAAACTAAACCTTCACCATCTGTTCTGCTGTAATTACAGATGCAATATTCACATAATTCACAGCTGCATCATAGAAAGGAAAGATGGAAGTGATTAAAATGTCTTTGTGTTCATTCTCTAGAACTCTATTATGTTTCTTTCATATACTGGTCAGCAGTTGCAGGTCCATGACTTAGTAAACTCCCTGCTGCAAGACTTGTTTCTGTTTAGTGAAGAAAGGATTATCTTATGAGCAGGGCTGACCCTAGGAGAGCGCGGTGCCTGGGACATAGGTGCTGCATTTCTATCAGCTGAGGGGTGCTCCCCCTGGCTCCGGTAGGCCCTGCCCCCACTCCTCCCCTTCCCCGAAGGCCCTGCCTCGCTTCTTCCCACCACACCTCTTCCCCACCCAGTTCCCCTCCCCCCCAGCGCCTCCAGACAAAACAGCTGATTGGCAGTAGGCAGTGGGAAGGAGGGGGAGGTGCCAATTGGTGGGGCCCATCGGCAGGCAGGAGGCACTGAAGAGAGGGGGAGGTTGGTAGGGGGGCTTCTCTTCGCCCCCCCTCCCACCTCACCTTCCCGCCCGCCTCCTCACCAAGCGTGGGGCCTCCCAAAGCGTGGGGCCCAGGGCGGTCATCCCGATTCACCGTACTCTAGGGACGGCTCTGCTTATGAGAGGTTTTCATTTCTATATTATTCAAAAAACATACAAGGGTTTTAAACTGCACCCTAAATCACGTGAGGTCTGTTTCTCTCTTCCTGTGTGGTGCCCACAAAGTTGCAATTAGCAGATGCGTTTATGATGGCTGCATCCCAACTTGGTTGCACCTGGAAAGGGATATTCTAGAAAGGCAGGGTCCTCAATTTAGCAATTCATTTTCCGTCATTGGTCCTCCATGGCCCAGATTTGTCAATGTTCTGAGTATGCTGCAAAGTTCATCTACTTTGGCTGAAGGGGGAACGGACAGATTTTGGGACATAGATGGTCAGATAAGAGGTTGCTGTAAATATGGTGGGAAATTGTTATTAAATGGGCAGTTCAATTTATGCTTTAAGGATATTATTTTTGCATTGTATATATTTTAATTGTCAAAAAAAGTTTGACTGATTTTGTTCACTCGTATATTGGTGTAAATCCATTGGATTCACTGTTGTTAGTCCAGATCTATGCCAACATATGCAAGATCAGAATCAGACTTTTGGAATGAAGGATAGAAGCTTAAAATCAAAATAGAGAAAGAAAGAGAAATTAAAAAGGCACATTATATTTCTTCTACAATTAAGTTTATTTATTTATTTAAAATCCTGGTGGTACTCTTTTTCCTTTAACCACATGTTTCTTTAACCACTTGTGTGGTCTAAGAAATTGTTATAAAAGTCATAACAGGAGATTTAAACAAGATTAGTTTACTATTGGAAGAAAGACCTAAAAGACTTAACCTATGATTTTTGCAGAAAGTAATACAAATATATATGTGTTTAGGGTTTAGTTATTCCCTATATTATAAATGCAGCATTCAACTGAAACCAAAATGTGATATTTTAGATCAGAACCAGACATTCAGCATAAATAATTTGGCCAATAATTGCTTTCTATACATCCTCATCTGGCACTGTTTGTTATGTAAATGTGTGTTTTTAGTAAACTTCTTATATATACTCTGAAAAATAAAATCTAGAAATATATATCAAGATATGCCACAGAAATGCTTCTTAAACTGATAAAAGGTGGTGGTGGCTTTTCATGCTCATAGAACTTAAGTATGTTTTTTTTATAAAACAAATTTCCTCAAAAAACTATTTACCACTCAGCTGAGACCAGGCCAAAGAAATTTTAGCCTGAAAGGAAAGGAAAACAATTAGAAAATTGTGATTGGTTTTAAATGATTCCCTTCTCAGCCTTGATTGTAGTGTTTGTAATATCCTGTTAACAATTGCTATATGTTCCTGAATCTTAACATGTGAAGTGGGTAAGGCAACATTTTAAAATAAGGGGTCTCAGTTCCATGTATAAAAATGCATGTGCATTTGTTAGGCTACCTTTTTCGTTGGGTTATCCATATTGCATATGCAGATTGGTCTTTTTTAATATCCAAATAGCTATTGTACATGCACATGAAAATGTAGATGGGGTAAAAAGACCAATTTGCACATGTAGTTACGGTAACTGGACATGGAAATACAGGCACACAATGTTATGATCTTGACTTGTTTTTGTTTTAAATCTGTTATTCTATGTATGACAGCCTAATAAAACTGAACTACACTGAAAGATTGAAAGAACTGAAGGATGGAAGTTCAGAATGGGCACTAGATGACTCATCAAATGAGTCATGCTGTGTGAAGCCTTTCACCTTTAGGTCACAGCTTCAAATCTGGGCCAGGTTCATCAATGACCCAGCATCTGAAGGGGGTTCACTAATGTTTCTCACAGTCGAGGGGGAGAAAAATTCATATCAGTCTTAGCAGAGGAAGCAAAGAGTAAACCAGCATGGACACTGAACTATGCCCTGACTCTCTTATCCAGTTCAGGGTTGAGGCTTATTGGTAGGTAAAAAAAACAGTAGGTATATTAAAAAAGGCCTGCAACGGCATTCCCCGTGCTGTACCTATTCTGTGATTAAACAGTCTCCAGTAATATCAATCTGGCAATCATTTCACTTTAGGAAAGGGGATGATAGAGAAGGATGCCAAGTTAGCATTGAATAACTTTGGTAGATGGTAAGGGGATGAGTGAGAAAAGCTAAAGCAGTGAAGTACTGCTATATAGTAAGGGCTTTCACCAGAAGTGCATGAAATTAAGTTTTAACCTAATAACATGCTTTTTATTTAGTGTTATAAAAGTTCCAAGGATCAGCAGCCTCAGATGGAATTGCTGTTGAATGACTGCAGTATCACATACATTCCCAAAGACAGTAAAAAGAAGAAGCACGAGCTGAAAATCACTCACCAAGGAACAGATGCACTGGTTCTAGCAGTACAGAGCAAAGAGCAGGCAGAACAGTGGTTGAAGGTACTGGACGGTTTCTGACCAGTTACATATCTAAAAACATTTCTGACAATAAAACACTGTGTTGGTTACTCAATATCAATTGATATTACAAGGTGAGATATGAAAATATGACTGTTTGTTTTTTAAATTAATGTTTTAGGTAGTTGGGTGTTTTTTTTCCTTGTTCAGAAGAATGGCCCCATATATCCAGCCTTTGAGCTCTTTCACCTGCCACTGACAAAATCCTTTCACTTTTTGCCTTGTATGATAACACTTCTTCCCTAATAGAAATGGCTGTGTTTACTGAATTCTGCTGTTCACATGAAATATCAGGCAGCCCCTTTCAAGAGTACAATTTTATGAGAAACCGGATTTTGAATCCGTGGAGAGCAAATCATAAGATCTGCTTTGTGCCACTAAAGTCTCTGAAACAAATCAGTATTTATTAAAATGCCACATGATGCTAAATATTGAGACGGGAGAAGGATGTTTTGCCCTGTAACTTCAAAATACTGAAATTAGTTTTGGTATTGATTAAAAAAAAATACAAGCAAAAGACAGTAGGTTTTAGGTTTTTGGGTTGTTGGGGGTTTTTTAGAATTAATTAACAAGTAACTAGTGATTTGCTTTCACACAGCTACCTCCTTCTCCCTGTTTAAAAAACTAACAAATCTGTTATGAAAATGTTTTCTTCTCTTCAAATGTAGAATTTCTCCCCAAAATGATAGTATAATATTTACTCCTGAAACAGCACTACACTGCTATCTTGTGATGAATCAAGGCCAGAAATGGTGGTTTTATGCCAATAAAAAGCCAACCCTCATTTTCTTTCAAATGAATACGATGCTTTGCATCATTTTTGCTCCCGCTTAAGCCTGTGCAGTGGGAACTCTTGTTTCAAAGGCAGCTGGCTCCACAGGGCCTAGCATTACTGTTGGTGTTTCAAAAAAAATAATTTGTAACCAAGGCAGAAAGAGAGGAAAAAAATACCAGTAAAGTGTGTGTTAACTTTCTAGAGCACACACAAAAAATGGGGGGAGTGGTTTCTGTAAATTGTGTCTAATGCAAAATAGATGATGACGTAGGTTTTAAAGGTTTTATTGGTATTCCTTTGGCTTGACCTGCATAACTTACAAGAATTTATGGTTTTGCCATTCATGAGTGAAGCAGCCACTCAAAGTTCATACCAGTAAATTTCTGGATCCACTCATATTTACATTCTTGGGCCCTTGATCCTGTGAGAGCTTATGTGCCTGAGTAACTGTGTGTGTGAGTAGTTGTACTGAGTTCATATGCAGAATCATTGGGTGGCATGTATGTTGTGGATGGGAGTTGCAGAGATTAGTACACATTGTTCACTTATCTTCTTGACACCCTGGTTTATGGAAGAAATTCTTTGTGCACATAGAAGAAAATGTTTTCTACCAAACCTAGAGCAGGGCTTGAAAAATCCCTTTTGACTGGGGCAAATTGAAACTTGGAGTAGGCAGTGGGTCTATTGAGCAGAAAGACGCAGGTACTGCTTGCCTCGTTCTGATATAGCAAGGGAATCGGGTGACCAGATAGCAAGTGTGATAGAGAGTGGCTGTGACTATGGGTGGGTACGAAGATGCATAGCTGCTATGCTTTGCACAGCTCCATGTGGCATTTTATGCAAATTAGTTCATGAGCTAGTTTGCATATATCCATAAACTTCAGCTTGTGATAAACATGTTCCCCCTAAACAGTGGTAGGGGTAGGCTCAGAGGAGTTGGCCAAAATCTTGACAGTAGAAAGTGGGGATGACTGGGGGCAGCTGGTGGCTATCTTAAGGGCAGCTGGGTGAGCGGCGGAGCTGAAAGCAGTACGGGGTGCCTAGAGGGGTTTTTGATTGTTGGTCGCCTGGGGCTGCTGGGACTGGCTGGTCGCTGAGGGAAGCTGCAGTGGGGGAATTGATGTTGGCTGGGGAATTAGGGCGTGTCTTCTGACGGGTGTGGAGGTGTTTGCTTGTGAGAAGCCTGGTGGAGCTGGATGCGGACAGTTGTAGGGGCAAAATAAGAGAGCCTGATGCCAGCTGGGCCTCTCACCTTGTGTTGCTGGTGCCAACGCTCCTTCCTCCAGCTGGGATCCAGCAGGGGGAACAGTGAGAGTGAAGCAACTGGCTGCCTGCTCAGCAGGTGACATAGAGATCAGAAGGCACAACTGCAGCTCTTGCCTGCAGAGCTATGGGTAGGTGTGACAGTGTTGCCAGGCGACTGTGTCCCATGAGATACAGAACACCTGTCAGCTCTGTAGATGGGTGCAGATGTCTGTGTGAAGAGGGAGAAGGGGGGAGAGGAAGAAAGTGGCGGAGGAATTAGAGAGCATGATGTAGCAAAAGAATGAGGAAGAGCCGTAAGGGGAGGAGATGACATTTCAGGAAAAAGATTAATCCTGAGCAATGATAGGAGAAAGAGGGATGAAAGCAGAAGGGGAAAGAATATATAACAAATGGAGAGACACAGTAAGACGTAACACTTTAAAATGTATTAAAGAAAAAGATAATTGGCAATATGTTACTCTAAGTACATTACGCAGTAAACATAGGCACAGCTGTAGGAGTACTGTCAATTGCAGGGAGCATGTTTTTTGTGCAGGCAGAAGTGTAGGTACGTTTCACTCTGTCTAGAAGATTGAGTCCAGTTTTCAAGCCTGTTCTAGCAGCATGTCATGTGTTGCAGTTTGTCCTGGGAATGCAGACTTCTGAGAATCAGGATTTTGCCATTTTTCACTCTGTTCTGTTCAGTGTCTAGAAATGTGGAAGTTCCCAATGCAAGTACTGTAGTTTCAGATCCTAACCAGATTACTAGTATTTATGTTGGACTTCACTATTCTCAGATGTGAAGGTCAGTGAAGTAGTGTGGGAAAGTATCACTTCAGCTATAGTGGCTTTTTAAACAAAACTTTTAATCCAGCATTTTAAGAGCAGCTACAAGTCTGAATACATAAGAATCCACCCAACGTTCTCTATGCTTTGCTCTGATGTAACCATATATGGTACTTATTTTCTTAAGAATAAATTGTATGTTTCTAAACACGGTTTGATTAAACACGTAAGAATTTCCTGATGGCATGTAGGCTGCCTATGAAAAGAGAAGTGAAGAGCAGTTTCAGAGGCATGACTGCATGGTGACTTGCTGAATGGAAAATTAATCTGTAATTCTATATACCACCAGATTAGCCTTTGTTCTGCTTTTTAATATCTCAGGCAGAGGCCGCCCTACGCAAAATAAGACAATCTTCCTTCTAATTGCTTCAAAGTTTATGGCAGGGATCTACGCCGCCCTCCCCCTCCCCCCCGGCCCCGGAGTCATGGATCTGCTCCCACAAGTCTTCCCTGATGTCCTCCACCTCCTGGGCCCACTCCCCATCCGCCTCCTGTAACCCTTCCCCGGCCTCCTCCATCCCTCCCTGACCCACACTGCAGTTCTTTTCCTGGAGCCACACAGCTCAACCCAGGCCCCACTGCACTCCTCACCCCCAAGCCTGCACCCCTGCCTGGTCCCCAGCAAGCCCCATGCCACTCATACCATTCCAGATGAGCTGTTCACTGTCAGGCTTGTAGTACAGGGCCATTGCAGTGTGAGTCCAGGTTAGCAGTCAGGGCAAGTCCTGAGAGCTGCCCAGGCACCAGGGTCTCCAGAGGTTGGGCGCTGGGCAGCAGGTGTGGGCTGGGAGCTGACATGGAGCCAAGCAGGTCACTGCTTTGGGCTGAAGCCCTGGCAGCACTTGTAGTGCTGCCAGGAGTATCTTTGAGCTGCATCTGCAGCCACAATTGTACCTGCATTAGGGGTGGGGAGCGGCTAGGGATGAGAGCACTTTCTCAGCGGCCCGGCTGGTGTCCGTTTCATGCTCCTGGGAGCCCCAACTGGCAGCCCCGCCAGCCTCATCACCTGCCACCCATTCCTGGAAGGAACCAAGGGAAAAAGGAACCAAGGGAAGTTGTCATAAATATAAAGGGAAGGGTAAACCCCTTTGAAATCCCTCCTGGCCAGGGGAAAGCTCCTCTCACCTGTAAAGGGTTAAGAAGCTAAAGGTAACCTCGCTGGCACCTGACCAAAATGACCAATGAGGAGACAAGATACTTTCAAAAGCTGGGAGGAGGGAGAGAAACAAAGGGTCTGTGTGTCTGTCTATATTCTGTCTTTGCCGGGGATAGACCAGGAATGGAGTCTTAGAACTTTTAGTAAGTAATCTAGCTAGGTACGTGTTAGATTATGATTTCTTTAAATGGCTGAGAAAAGAATTGTGCTGAATAGAATAACTATTTCTGTCTGTGTATCTTTTTTGTAACTTAAGGTTTTGCCTAGAGGGGTTCTCTATGTTTTGAATCTAATTACCCTGTAAGGTATCTACCATCCTGATTTTACAGGGGGGATTTCTTTATTTCTATTTACTTCTATTTTTATTAAAAGTCTTCTTGTAAGAAAACTGAATGCTTTTTCATTGTTCTCAGATCCAAGGGTTTGGGTCTGTGGTCACCTATGCAAATTGGTGAGGCTTTTTATCCAACATTTCCCAGGAAAGGGGGGGTGCAAGTGTTGGGAGGATTGTTCATTGTTCTTAAGATCCAAGGGTCTGGGTCTGTAGTCACCTAGGCAAATTGGTGAGGCTTTTTACCAAACCTTGTCCAGGAAGTGGGGTGCAAGGTTTTGGGAAGTATTTTGGGGGGGGAAAGACGCGTCCAAACAGCTCTTCCCCAGTAACCAGTATTAGTTTGGTGGTGGTAGCGGCCAATCCAAGGACAAAGGGTGGAATATTTTGTACCTTGGGGAAGTTTTGACCTAAGCTGGTAAAGAGAAGCTTAGGAGGTTTTTCATGCAGGTCCCCACATCTGTACCCTAGCTTTCAGAGTGGGGAAGGAACCTTGACAGAAGTCCTGAAATCTGCCATCCTTAGCAACTGCCTAGCTTGCCTGTGTCTAGAGCAGCCTCTGATCTCTGGATTTGAAATTTGGATTTTCATAGAAAGTAACAGTGAGCTCTTATAGGCTATTTATAACA